CCGCGCCCTTCGTGGATGTGTCGGCGCGGAGGCAGAGCCCGGCGCTGTGCGGGCCGCGGGAGGCACAGGCCATCAGGGGACACCTCGCCTCGCTCCTCGCCCACCTCGGGGATGCTGAGGCCGCAGGCACCGGCCCCGTGTCCTCCAGCGAGGTGGTCCCCGCGGGCTGGAACCTCTGCACCGTGGCCGGGGTGCTGCTGGGCTACCCGGCCGTCTACACCTTCTGCGCCGAGGAAGGCGCCGAGAACTGCCTGGCGCTGACGCCGCTCAGGGTGTTCACGGCCCAGGCCTCCTGCCCCAGGATCAAGGACGGCCTGAGGGTCCAGATCTACTCCTTCAGCGTCCCCGAGAGCCTGTGCGCGGAGCTGAGGGAGGCGCTGGACGCCTGGTGCCGGGAGCTGCAGGAGGCCTTCAGCGCGCAGAGCGACTTCGTAGACCTCTGCATTTCGAGCGAGGTGGTGTCTCTGCCAGCAGTTGCTTTGTAAAAAACACAGAAAAAACTCAGACTCTCCTGTTTCTCACTGACATCAGGGACTGAGGCTGCATGTGCAGCCAACTGATGCTCTCTCAAGAGGCCCCTGAGCACCAAAGGCTGAGCTGGGACAGTCTTGGGCCCTGGGCCTTGCAGGCCAGTTGCAAATCATGTACTTGTGCTTCCCAGAAGAGCAGTGGGTGGACAAATGCACCCACAGCTGCTCAGCAGCCTCTACCTGGACTACAAGAGACTGCCCTGTAAACTCGGGGTATATTTGTTTGCTGAAAACAGGTTAGTAAAAGAAAACTGAAATTCGAGTTTGTGAAGTTTATGGTAGGCTCCGTCCATATTTACTGCTCGTGCCAGGTGGTGTCAGGCACTGCCTCGTGGCTGATCCTGTGCTTGGACAAGGGACAGGGGCTGCTGTGAATTCTGCCCAGCGCAGCTCCAAGGGAGCCTTGAAACCCTTGGCTCTGCAAAGTAATGTGGAGCTGGAAGTGAAAGGGAAGGGGACATGGCTGTGGGGACACTTGGCCACAGGGCAGGCTCGCAGGGCGATGGGCTGAACTGGGTCTAGTGGGTGGGAAAACTGGTCGGGACAGGGAGTGCAGGGGGGCTGGGCTGAAAAGCCTCCCTGAGATGAGTTTCTTTTTGTCAGGTACTAGTAGAGATCATCCAGGGCTGAGCATGTCACATTTGGAAAGGCAGTAAATAGAGGAAGAGCATTTTGTAGTCCTCTCAGCCACTGGGCATGGAAACTAGGGAGGCTGGACCTGCAGCTCCTGCAGTGAAGTCAGTCAGTGAGAAGGTCCTTCATGGTCTGTAGCTTGTGAGGAAGGTGGCAATGGCCACTGCTGTCACTGCCAGCAGGACAGGGACCCAGTGACTGCGCAGTCTCTGCGGGGAGAAGCAAGTGTTAGTAGGAAACTGGCGAGGAGGAGAAAGTTCCCATCTCATCCACAGAGAACATGATGTTCAGCCTGCACAAATACATGGGGGAATTATTCCCGGCGCGATCTGCAGGCCAGGTCCCCGGGGAGTGGGGGCGAGGAGCTGCTCCCACCTTTGCCTGCTGGCTCTGGAAGTGGTTGAGCTGGTCCCGGCACTGGCGCAGCCCAGCCAGGCAGGCCCGGCACTTCAGGCC